TTAGAAAAGTTCAATAAGGATGATACTAACTTGACTCGAAAGTTATTGAAAGTCTAATGTACTTGATGAGTTGTACAAAACTAGACATAGCCTACACAGTTAGTAAACTGAGTAGATACACGAGTAATCTAGAAGCTGATCACTGGAAAATGAATAGTAAGAATACTAAGATACTTAAGATATACTCGTGACTATGGACTACATTATACCAGATATCCAGCGGCCATTGAAGGATACAGTGATACTAATTGAATAACTTATTTAAAAGACTCAAAGTCCACCAGTAAATTTGTTTTCACATTAAGAGGTGCTGTCATATCGTGAAAATCCTCTAAGCTAACAGTTATAGCCAAATCTACGATGAAATCTGAGTTTATAGCTCTAAATAAATATGGTAAAGAGACGGAATGGTTGTGCAACTTATATTCCAAGATGGTTAAAACTTGTGCAAGCAATTTGCATATATTATAAAAATCAATCAGTAATAGGAAGGGCACAGAGTAACATGTACAATGGTAAGTCCAGACATATACATCGTAGACACAATACCATAAGACAACTATTCTCAACTGGAGTTATCACTATTGACTATGTAAGGTCAAAAGATAACATTGCGGATCCGCTAATCAAAGGGTTAAATAGAGAGTTAGTTGGAAAATTATCGAAAGGAATGGAACTTAAGTCCTTAAATGAATAAGACATTACAAAGGAAACCTAACCTAGTTGACTGAAAATCCCAAGATCTAGATTCAAAGGGACAACCTAATTGTAAAGACTTAATAAAATTACTGTAGAGTTTTACCATCTGTCCATTCCTATGATGTAACAGTGATGCCCGTAAGGATGAAGGATAAGCAATAGGCTTTTAATGATTGCTTGATTACTACTTGGCCTTTATCCTTTGCTCGTAAAAAATGGATATAAGAATTCTTATGCATCGAAAATCGAGCCAAGTAATACTGATTACTTGTAATAAGAAATCATCTATGTGAGAGAGAAATGGGGCCACTTCTAAGAGAATTGTGTGAGGCTCAATTTTTAAGAATTCTCATAGAACCAGGCATATGTTCATGGTCAAAACGAAGATAATAATGAGAACTGAATTGTGTTAGAAAGAATCCTATGTGGAATATATCATTGTTTACATAAAGGGCAGAACAGTTCAATGACAACACGTCTATTGGTCAACTAGTAAATTAAATATGCTTTCACAAGGGAAGATTCAAAGGGTAATACATACCTGTCCTATGCAGGCTTCAATAGTCGAACTCTATCATCAAGTCTTGTGTCTCTCCCAATTTTCATTCATGTGGTTGATAGTTGGAAAAAATGAGTAAATAACTCACTTTTGGCACAATTTTTGATGGAACCTGTTGGTCCAATTTGGAATATAGAAGTTAAACCGTGTTCACGTCCGCAAGAGCATCAAAATCATATATTTACTTGCCAAAAATGAAGTTTGGGTGAATAAGAAATTGAAGCTCAAAGTTGACAATTTGAAGATGGTTTATATGGGAAAATAGGATTTGTCTCACATAGGAAAATGAAGAAAGTATGAATCACTTTATATATGGTTACACTTTGAAAGGACGTAATGATGTGAAGCATAGAGGCTCACTCCACGTGCACGCGCAGAGGGTGCAAATCATGGACCGAAATAGCCTTCGGACCTTGAACTTGTGTGCAGACGTGACTTGCGTTCACGAATGTTGGACCGAAACGGAGTAAAAATTGGCCCATATGGAGTGTCTACTTTTGCAATTTTATTTTTTATTTTTCGCTTTCTCCAACTGACTTTTGAGTGTCTGAAACTGCTAAAACTCCAACAGAAACTGAAATGACTCCAATGTTTATTGCCATAGAGATTCCTTTTTAGCTATGTTTAGGGAACGCCAATCTATTCTGAAATTCAATTCTACAGTTACCTATTTAGTCCTAGACGGATCAGCGTATTGTGACACAAACCAAAAACCAAAACGGATTTATCTTATATTAAGTCTCATTTTCCAGTAATTCTAAAAAAACAAGAAAACACACACTGACACACATGAAAATCTCTTCATCTATATATACAGTATTGTCCTGTCTGCACATATAGTTTTTGTCCAACGTCGTGGTAGTGATATTGCTCGAATACTAAGTCGGTTCGTCAGAGTAGTTTCTGCAGTGCTCGAATTCTACTGGTTTTTACCGTTGTATCCTGAAAAATAGATGCTCGAATTAAATCTTAAGTATTAATGATGAGGGAGCGAATCTATTTTAAGGAAACTGGGCTCACACAAACCTCGGGTTGAAAGTTCGTCCGTTATTTAATATTTCATGTGTTTCATATAATTTACAATTTATTATGTTGTCGTTCTATTTATGTTTATTAAAAATTAATTTGTGTTATTAGCCAACTAGATTAATTTGTTTATTCCATTGCAATTCAAATCTGTTATATTTTATCTTGTTCACTGCATATACAGTATATGCAAAATTGATATGCTATGCAAATACAGTGTGGTGTTGTATATACGGTAAACTTTTGCATATACGGTATGCTGTGCAAATATGGTATGCTGTTGCATATATGGTAAATTGTTACAATACGGTATGTTGTTGTAAATACGGTATGATATATATGGTAAGCTATAAATACAGTAATATGCATATACGATAATTTGTATATATGGTGTACGTAAATACGATATGTTACATATATAGTATGCATAAATTCAATATGTAAATTGCATATACAGTATGAATGAATCCGATTTTATCCACTATACTAAATTTCCAACAACTGGTGCCAACATCCACAAGTTCTTTCACATTCTATGAACCTACATCTGGTATGTAACTTACAACAAAAAAAGTTAATTGTATATCATTTGACACTATTGAACAAGTAAAATAAGCAAAAATATTGACCATTATAGTATCCAATCTTGTCTATACTGCTGGACCCACAATGGGTCCTGGTGGGTCAAGTGGCCCACCAACTGAAAATTCAGTTTATTTATTTATTTCTATTATTATTAATTTTTTTTGTTGTAGAAATCAGATTTGAAGCCTCATTCTTTGGGAAATTATTTCTTTTTGATGATTTCTTTTGTATTTTCCTATGAAATAAACTTGGGGATCCGCTTAAGTGCTCCAATTTCTATCTTGTTTTAAAAATTTTAGGGTAATGAGTTCTTGCCGTATTTTTTTCTTTGTTTGAACTAAAATGCGGTTGATAATGTAACATTTAGAATTTGCTGTGATTTTCGTATTTTTTACTTGAATTGATTGTTTTCATTGATTGTGATGGAAAAATAATATAAACGTAAATATGCCTTTTCGTTTGATGATCACAATGTTGATGAAAGGATTATTCGAGATAAAAGCGATGAAAATGATATTGGAAATAAGAAGGATGTAAACTTGATGATATTCGAGATAAACGTAAATCTATGTTCTTTGCAAGTTTGATTGCATCCCCCCTAACTCACAATATCTGTGTCCGCCATTGCTTATCTAGTACTATGTAGTAAATATACCCAACTCATTTCTAAATGTGAACCTAATGAGAGACTAGAAGTTATTTAATTATGATTGATGGTGAATCCATGTGTTTAGGATGGGAAGCAAAAATTACTGTCTAGGAACATAACCAGTATTATGTTCACGATCATGAATGTTGATCTTCCATCGAAAGCAGACATCTAGTTTTTATAAATACTAAATGTATCAACGTTACTACAATTAATAATGTAAGACATCTATGATGCACCGACACGACATGTGTCGGATACGGTGACACGCAAATTTTTCAAAAGAATTCAAACATGACACGTCATCGACACGTTGATTAAATTCTTTAAAAAATTCATTTATATGGTACAAATTTAGTATTATAGTTGTTATGAACTTTTCTTGTTGAAATCTTCTAAAGACAAATAGATATTTGTTATTTACTAATAATTTCAAGTTAAAAGCATATAATATTTTTAATTAAAAAAAATGATAATGGTAGAGTCTTCAAACAGAGTAAGTATCTGATATGGACATGCTACCCTAGTTGAAGTGTCCGTAGAACAAAATAGAGTGTGGCGTCTTCTATTCTTCAAACTTGAGAAAGTCAAACCACTTTTTTTGAAGAGTCTAGCTAATTTAAATTTGATCATAGGGAAATCTCGTCGCATGGCAGACTGAGCTTGCATACCATGTTCATGTTGTTATCTATGCATCAATTTTAGGTAAAAGTTCAAAAAAACTGCCATAAAAATATCTACAATTTTTTATTACAGCATGTATATACGAAGCCTGACATTTACTTTCGCGTTTGTCAGGATTTCTTGGTATAATCGTGTTTTTAATTTTCAAATATCTCGGAGAATGTAATGGTGAAATTGATGATGAAATGGAGCTATCAGTAACAACATAAAGCACTAAGACCGATCCTTTGATGACAGAAAAAGTGGTTAAATTGCCATATGGAAGGACAAAGAAGACATGGAATCTGGTACATCTAGTTCTTCTGGAGATTAACATGATGTCAAAATTTGTGTAATCTGCTTTGACGTGCCAAGAAATTTCCTTTTTGTTACTTGTGGTCACTGTGTCACTTGTCATGGTCAAGGTATAAATATGCTGCAAAAGTCTCTCTCTTTTGAACAAGTAAAAGTGAGAAAAATAATGAAACTTGCTCCTTGTCCCGACTTGGGGATAGGGTCAGGGACATGGACGCCACATGATGCCCTCCTATTGAAAGGGCGCCTGTCCCTGACATGCGCCCCTGTCTTCAATCCTGTCCCCAATCTGGGACAGGGGGTTTTATCCAAAAATAATACTAACAATCATGCTTCAAGTACAGAAAATTTTGACAAACAACACATGGTAGGAATTGAATGAAAGATGGAAAGAGAAAAAACAAAAAAATCCAATCTCCTGTGATCATGTCAACGTCAGTAGGAATTCTGTCGAGAATTCCCTATACTCATGGCTTTTCCTAATACTAAAGGGCTCTTTTGCAGGATCAAGGTTGAGGTGAACAAGTTGTGTCCAATATGTAGAAGATTAGTTAAGATGGTCAGAAAACTGAGTATTCCTTAGAAAATATTTCCCAATATGATGTAAAAATATATATTTTCGTAACCATAGGTTCTTGACTTTCTCCGCTTTCAAGCATGGATTTTAACTATTTTTTAGTGACGCCGTTTATAAGAGGTTGAGAAAATAAGTGTAATGTAATTTGGTATGCATTTCTCGACCCACCAAATCGATGGTTTACAGTTTTTCAGTTTTTATTAGAAAAGGATTCCTTTACTAATAAATCATCCCTTCCTAACGTTATCATATGTTCTTTGTTCTTCAACCTTTCTCGGTCCTTCAACGTTCATTCTCGTCTTCAACATTTCTCCAATTTCGTGTCAATTTAAGGTACAGATTCTGTTAATATAGTACTTTATTTCCCCCAGTGTCTCCTTCTGTGAGTAAATTGGAATTGTGTAGTTTCTATTGAGCAATCTGAAAGTTCTTATAGCTTCCGTGGAAGTCTATAATGCATTAATTGCAATGAAAAAAGGGAGTAATAACAGTCTAACATTGGCCTCCTCTTTATGGGTTAACTCAATCTATATATATGGGATGTATTTGTGTTTCTTTGTGGGTAAATTTGCAAGTGTTTTGTGTGCAGTTCAAGTGTTTGTCAAAAAGCCTGCGTGTGCTCCCTGAAACTGAGTTGGAACTGAAATAGGAGCAAAGTTTTTCCATAATTTAGTATGGGATTTAAAATATAATTGAGAAGCAGGAAGTTAAATAGGTCAGGAAACGGAATAAAATTCATATTCTTACATCTCGGCTTTAACAGTATTGTTGCAGTTCGTTGCGTGATCAATTCCATCAATTGTGACTTGATCTGGCATTGCCAATGTGATTGTTGACTAATTTAGTTTAATTAACTATCTTGGGATAAAAGTGACTTTTATGGCCATTTCAATCTGTAGTGAGATCGTTGTCCTTGGCCCGTTACATATCAATGAAAACCTTCATGATCGAAAGAGAAGTACAAATTTGTTCAACAGCTCCCAAGTATGAATTGGACAAATTTAACCATGAGGGGTAGTTCAGCGATCAGGCCTTGGGTTTGCTCTCCAATGATTACCAATTCTAGTCACCTCAAGGTCATTGAGGTGAGTATCCAGCTTAAATTTCAGCGCCTTGTGGGATTAGTTGAGGTGCGCGTAAACTGGCATGAACACCTGCGATCATAAAAAAATTGAATTGGACCGATTTAAAAACCGTTATTAAAACCAATCAATACTAAACTAATCATAAACGCCCAAAATTGGTACTTCCAAGCAGGCCCTAAACCTTTTGGATTATTTCAATTAAGGACTAGTCTATATGATATACTTAAGAGGGACTGACTGGTGTAGCATTCCCAGTCAATTAAGTGTAGTCTGGATGATATTTGGCTAATCGCATTTTAAAACTACTTACTTAGATAATAATAAGTGTTACCAAATATTTATAAAAAAAAATTTTTGGCTAAAAAACTAACACAACCTGATAAACTCCTTGCCGTCATGGATCCAACACCATTATATACTTGCTGAAAACTACAAACTAATATTATATGATACCATAGGTTAAGAATATTTGTTGTGTATATATAATTTCTATGCATAGATGCTAATCAGAAATCTTCATTTGTGTCCATCCATATACAAAATTGCCAATTTTGATAGTGAACTGTCAAATAAACAAATAAAAATGTAGCATCAATTTAGGAGGGACCATATATAAATAAGTATACTTTTAATTATTCTGCCAGTGCCAGCATTGGAACTAGGAAACGTTATCATCTCGTGAAGTTCTTATTACTAGTCTTGACATGTCTTGTACAGGATGGATTCATTTTTTCATTAAAGATGTGACATGTACGTAGTCTTTACAAACTGTGAGACTGTGTTTGACAATTCTCAGATATAAAACAGTTAACACTTTTATCTGTTCAATTGATCTCTCAATGGAAACCATATTCTACTTCATCATCTTCCCTTTCCTCTATTTTCTGACAAATCATTTTCTCAAAAAGTTACAAAATTATCCACCAAGTCCTCTTCTCTCCTTACCAGTAATAGGCCATTTGTATATCTTCAAGAAACCACTCCATAGAACCTTGGCCAAGATTTCAAACAAGTATGGTCCAATCCTCTTCCTTCAATTCGGTTCTCGCCCCGTCGTCCACATATCCTCTCCCTCTGCTGCAGAGGAATGCCTCAGCAAAAACGACATCATATTCGCTAACCGTCCTAGGTTGCTTGCTGGAAAGCACCTCGGTTACAACTACACCACCCTTGTTTGGGCCTCATATTGTGATCACTGGCGCAACCTAAGGCGGATAGCTTCCCTTGAAATTTTGTCTACATATCGGATCCAAATGTTTTCTGATATACGAAGAAGTGAGGTTCATTTACTGGTAAAAAGACTCATCAGAGGTACCCAAAGGGGAGAATATCAGACGGTGGATATGAAATCGGCATTCTTTGTGATGTTACTGAATATCATGATGAGAATGATTGCTGGAAAGCGATATGACAATGATGATGATGATCGTGATGATTCTGGGAATTTGGAAGAAGCAAGAAAGTTTAAGGAGATTGTGACTGAGACTTTTCAATTGAGTGGTGCAACAAATATTGGAGATTTCATTCCACTTTTGAGGTGGATAGGAATGGATAAAATTGAAAATAGGTTGAAGATATTGAAGGAGAAGAGAGACAGATTCATGCAAGACTTAATTGATGAACACAGGAGTACAACAACTTATAAGCAGAAGGAGAAGACTCTGATTGATATTCTCTTGTCCCTCCAAGAGACTGAACCTGAATGTTATAACGATGAAATTATCAGAGGCCTGATGCAGGTAAATTTTTGGGAATCGTAACCTTGTTTATCACTCACTATAGTCTGGAGAAAGTTTGCGTAGAGGTGTAAACTGAGTCGAGATGTCCCTATTCTGGATAGCTCCTTGCCAAGCACATGGCATGGCCTGGCTCAGACAAGGCAACTCATTTTTACCCCTCTTAAGTGTGGCCTCTGATTTTCTCAGCATTATCTTCTCCTAAGTCCTAACATGATGTTTCTTGTATTTCTTCGCAAACAGAAATGAAAAATTGACATGAATCATTTGTTTTCCTTGTATTATTTCTAAAATAATCAAGAATGCTGAGAAAATGTGACAGTCATATGCCTACTTATTTATTGAAACTAATTACATCAGCATCTTAGTTTGATAGTGACAGAACATTTCTATACTATAATAGATTATCAATTTGGGCAAGTAATAAAATTGCTAAAAGATTTGTTTATATGTAGGTGATGTTATCTGCTGGGACAGACACTTCAGTAGCAACAATGGAATGGGCATTGTCACTTCTTCTGAACAACCCTGAGGCACTAATGAAGGCTCAAAATGAAATCGACAATTACCTAGGAAATTTGAGGCTAATCGAGGATTCTGACCTCCCTCGACTTCCTTATCTCCACGGAATTATCAATGAGACACTACGTATGTACCCCGTGGACCCCTTGATCCCCCCACACGAGTCATCCGAGGAATGCACAGTAGGGGGATTTAGAGTCCCTCGAGGTACAATGCTGTTAGTGAACTTATGGGCTATACAAAATGATCCCAACTTGTGGGAGGAGCCAAGAAAATTTAAACCCAAAAGGTTTCTTAATTTACCCGGCCAACGTGATGGATTCGTGCTGATGCCATTCGGGTATGGAAGGAGGGGGTGTCCCGGTGAGAATTTGGCAATGCACGTCGTTGGCCTAGTGGTGGGGTCGTTGATTCAGTGCTTTGAGTGGGCTAGAGAGGGTGATGAGTTGGTGGATATGAGTGAAGGTCCGGGGCTTACAATGCCCAAGGCTAAGCCACTCTTGGCCAAATGTAGGCCACGCCAAGGAATGCTGAGATTGCTCTCTCAAATTTGATCAAGTATTGTCTGACAATGTTGTCTTTTCTTTAATTTCGTCGAAATGCCTTCTAGCATACAAAAAAGGGTTTGATTATTAGCGTGTTTGTAGGCGTGGCCCACATTAAATGCATATTTTGCACATTTTCTTTTCCCATTGTGAGATACGGTTTAACATCTAACCACTACAAGAGCTCAAATGAACCAAATATTCTTGTAATAAAATTTTAGTCATCCTTGAGCATCTACAAGTTAGATTACACTCCTGATACAAGAGATCAAGCCAGGAATGTTCGATACTAATGCTTTTGATTTATTCGAATTTCTATCCCCCTCACAGATTTACAATTTGTTCGCCACAGTGCACACAAACTCATTCTCACTTACACTAAGTAAAGATCAATCTTTTTATAAGAGAGACAACAATTAACCCTCCATCCAATGCCCACCATTTAACCACGTGTAAGGCAATCATTTCACTTACGTGAGACAGAAATCACGTTTTAAGAAAACACGAATTTAAAGTCAAATGTCAACAAAGATCATACAATTGTCGAGGTGATTATGTTCTTAGTAATAGAAAAATAGAAGGTGTCGAACAGTTGAATTACTTTCTGCATTTAGCCAAAAGAGCCGTCCGAAGTGTGCAAATGATGTGTGATGCCATCTCAAAGAGAAAGGGAACCAAAATGGAATAGATAAAGACAAATATATACGTTGCTTAATTGGATTAGTCACTAAGTACATACAATGATTAAATTTTAATTTCATTTTATGTATTAAATATTAATATTATTTAATATACCCCACCAAAAATCAATCCAAGCTCAAGAAAGAGACAAAGATGTCTTTAGTTGATTGATGATGGCATGGTTTAACTTAGGATAGTCTTTACTTTACAATTCTTCGTTGATTATGAATGAGTACAGTAACTAAAATTGAGTGGCCTAATGTATCTGTCGTTGGGAATTTACTTCACATGCGTAGCAGAAAATAAAAACAAATTTCAATTCCTACCAAGAATCGTCTTTATGTTTAGATAGAAATTGTGATAAAAGTCATATATTTTTCTAACTCTGCAAACCTCTTTGCTTTTTCTTTGTTCTAACGATCTTGATTCACCATCCACAACTATCCAGCCTCCAACAGTGATCCACACAGAGAATAAGATTGTAAGATTGAGGTTTTCTTTCCTGTGCTAACAAGAATAAATTCTCTTCAAATTTTAAAAACTCTAGTCATATTTATATAAACTCGAACTGGCTTGGTTTGACCCAATCCAATATTTAATTAACTCATTTAATTAAATTCGGTCCGTGAATTAATTAATTCAATCATATAAATAATCAACTCAATTAATTAATTTATCAAACGATTGTTAAATTAATTAATTGACAAATTACAATCTTCCAATTATCATTTGTGTACAATCAATCAGGTTCTCGATCACGATATCTAATGACGTGAAATATTATTTTGATCTAGTCAAAATTGATAAATTAAAATGTTCTTTTAGTTTATCACCAATTCACACTTATCGTCTCAGATTGACATCTAACAATGTGTCAAGGCAATATATGAGACGGGAAATATCACGTGGTATGACAAAATCCAACTCGTTTGTTTACCATGAAATTATAATCCCTTCGTCAATATGATCCGATCAATTACAAGATATGGAAGTGTGTCAATTTCGATTATCGATCATATCTTTTACTCCACTATTAAGTCAATATAAGTCGAAAACTCATTTTCGACTTCTAATTACACATTAACCAAGGATTTCGTTATCGACTTAATTGAATGAAATGCAGATCATAATATCTTACTATTTAAGAGTGACGAATCATTTATTGGTCATTCACAACCTTCATACGATTCTTGACATACCCGAACAATATCGTATTAGCGGCTCTTGGTAAAGCAACATCCAACACCGTCAAAGTATGACTGTCCTTATATAAGATACTATGATGACTTCAAGTCAAAGGACCAATCCCACTACCGAACGTTAGAGATTAACCACTGATACTCAGATAGTTATCCATGTGGAATCTCTAGGCGGATCTCCAACGTTTTGTTCTACAGCAAAACATCAACGTGTTCGTTCAAGTGTCACCACACTTTAACTTGTGAGATCAGCTACTTACTTCACAAGTAAGAAATGTCAGACGTGATAGTCTATCTGTAATAACGATATCCGTATCTTGTTAATATTTATGACCATGAATGATTTAAGATTCAATTTGTATCTCACAATCACAACTCCTTGTGATTAACAAATTACGAAGATTTGAATCTACGGACTCTATTATTTAATTTAATTGTCTATTAATTAAATAATATATCTATCATTAAATCGCATTAATTATATATCAAAAGTATTTTTTTCTACGATTGATTGAACTTAGGGCATAACACTTACATCTGTTAATAATGTAGTTCATAGAACAAGTTGAACTTGAGGTGGCTTGTTGAGATATTAATTTGAGCGATGTGATTAGCTTGAACTTGAACTTGAACTTGAACTTGAACTTGAGCTTGAGCTTGAGCTGTATTTGGTTTGATTTGAACTCGAGTTTGGAGCTTTTTAATTTTATCTGATTTCTAATTTTTTTTCAAAGAAAATGATTATATTATAAATAATTTGAAAATTTTCAGATGAGGTTTTTAAACTTTTTTTCTTGACATTTGAAACTTTCAAATTTTATATTGATATAGCACCTAGGAGCCTAATGAATAGTTGCTTTATCATATCTGTAAAGCTCTTTCTACAGAAAATCATTTCATAGGATTCAACTGGACAACTCACATGGGAGGGCCCCATGTGGTGATAAAAAATTGCCAAATAAATCATCCAACCCCCTGTTGTGAGAGTTTTGTAACAATTCTATGAAATAGGTTTCTGTACAACAAGCTTGGTTCTTATCATATTGTCATAGAAAATTCATGCGACTCCATTTTTAATTTAAATGAAAATTTAAGGGAAGATAAGAAAGAGCCAAAAAAAAAATGTGAAAGTAAAAAAATAATAGCAAAGATCTATGTTGGTCCTATGATTTTCGAGACCTCATGCGAACTTCATTAGTTAGACCCCACTAAAATTTTAGTATGCATACAAAACCTATAAATGTATTATGGAACCAATTGTTCAGAGCCGACAATCTTTCAAACAATCTATGAGAAAAGATAGGTGACTGTCTTTAAGCTGTACTTCCATAAATACCACATAAATGACAACAATATTTAAGCCACTCTACAAGGAAACTCTTCAAAATAAAGCAACTCCATGGAATCATGAAACCTTTTGCATTTCGGACATGATAAGTGCGCTTTACACACTTATTTTGATTACAAAATATGAATAATTGTTGATAAATATATTGAAGTATGGCTTAGTTCTATGTAAATTATATTTTGTAGGACGACATTGATGAACGTGGAGGAATCTAGGAAAAACAAATAGAAAATGACCAAGTGGAAGAAAATAAGAGTTCAAGGACCAAAGTGCAAATAGCCAAAAGCTGACATGAAAGACAAAATGAAAATGTGAAAGATTCGAAGGCCAATTTATAGAAGACATGGAGTATTGAAAGAAGAAGAAATGAAAAAAGAGGTTAAGAATCGAGAGAATGAAATTTGGGGAATAAAACGCAATATTTGAAAGTTAATATAACTGGGCGACTGCCCAACCATGAAGAACAAATACCAAGGCTTAAAGTTTAGCCTGAGCGACTGTCTTGGATTCACGCGAAAAAATTCGTCCACACGTTGATTAAATTCTTTAAAAAAATTTATTTATATGGTTCAAATTTAGTATTATACTTGTTATGAACTTTTCTTGTTGAAATCTTCTAAAGATGAATACATATTTGTTATCTACTAATAATTTCAAGTTAAAAGCATATAATATTTCTAATTAAAAAGATGATCATGGTAGAGTGTTCAAACAGAGTAAGTATTTGACATGGACACACTATCCTAGTTGAAGTGTCCATAGAACAAAACAGAGTGTGGCGTCTTCTGTTCTTCAAACTTGAGAAAGTCAAACCACTTTTCTGGAAGAGTCTAGCTAATTTAAATTTGATCATAGGGAAATCTCGTCGCATGGTAGACTGAGCTTGCATTCCTGGTTCATGTTGTTATCTATGCATCAATTTTAGGTAAAACTTCAAAAAAAACTGCTATAAAAATATCTTCGATTGTTGATTACAACATGTATATATGAAGCCTAACATTTACGTTCGCGTTTGTCAGGATTTCTTGGTATAATCGTGTTTTTAATTTTCAAATATCTAGGAGAATGTAATGGTGAAACTAATGTTGAAATGGAGTAATCAGTAACAATAGAAAGCACTGAGACCGATCCTTTGATGACAGAAAAAGTGGTTAAATTGCCATATGGAACAAACGAAGAAGACATGGAATCTGGTACATCTAGTTCTTCTAGAGATTTACATGATGTCAAAATTTGTGTAATCTGCTTTGACGAGCCAAGAAATTGCCTTTTTTTCCTTGTGGTCACTGTGTCACTTGTCATAGTCAAGGTATAAATATGGTGCAAAAGTTTCTCTCTCTTTTGAACAAAAGTGAGAAAAATAATGAACCCTACTTCATGTCCCGGCTTGGGAACTGACGCCCTCCATTGGAGGGGCGCATGTCAACCTCCAATATATATGGCGCCCCTATCTTCAACCCTGTCCCCAAGCCGGGACAGAGGGTTTTATCTAAAAATAATACTAACAATCACGTTACAAGTACAGAAAATTTTGACAAATAACACATGTAGGAATTGATTGAAAGATGAAAAGAGAAAAAACAATCCAATCACTTGCGACCATGTCAGTGTCAGTAAAAATTCTGTCGAGAATTCCCTGTACTCATGGCTTTTCCTAATACTAAAGGGCTCTTTTGCAGGATCAAGGTTGAGGTGAACAAGTTGTGTCCAATATGTAGAAGATTAGTTAAGATGGTCAGAAAACTGATTATTCCTTAGAAAATATTTCCCAAAATGATGTAAAAATATATATTTTCGTAACCGTACGTTATTGACTTTCTCTGCTTTCAAGCATGGATTTTAACTATTTTTTACTGACGCCGTTTATAAGAGGTTGAGAAAACAAGTGTAATGTAATTTGCATTTCTCGACCCA